GCCCCGGCCCCCGTTCGTCTTCCTGTTTGCCTGACCCCCGCCAGCTGCGGATGGCACCAGCTGTCACTCCCGGGCGCTGCTGGCACTCGTGGCGATCCCACGGGGACAGCTGCTGGGTCCTAGCAGCCAGCCAGGGCTCGGGAAGGGGGAACAGGGCTCTGTGTCCCCCCAGCATGGCCACCCACCTTCTGCAAGGACAGCTTAGCCCCCAAGGTCCCCAGGGCTCGGGGGACAGACATACAGATGGATCTGCGGCGTCTCCTCCACACCGGTGCGCAGATGCCCTGGAGTATCCATCAGGCATCGGTGTAACGGAGCTGGGAGTGGTCCCTCCCTGGCACCCCAAGGACCCGGACACATACTTGGGGGGCACACGTAGGCACAGAGAGAGGTTTGGCATGGGCACCAGGCATGGCACTGGGCATGGCACCAGAGGGATGACAGGTGCTTGTCCTCCAGATGGATGGATGCATGGATGGATGCATGGATGAGCTCCTCCATGCCCAGGCAGGGCAGCACATCTTGCTCGTCCTCTGTAGCTCTGATGCCATAGGTGACGGGCACAAGCCACCTGCCTTGCCAAGGTGACGAGGGCACCTGGCTCACAAAGCCACCAGCTTTCACCTGAAGACTGCCAGCACCCAAGGGCCACAACAGGCTGCAGCCCCTCCAGAGCCACCCACCGCCATCCCTGCAGGCACCCGCCACCACCCTTCCCTACTCCGCACTCGCCTCACCAGGCAGGAAAGTGCTGGCACGGCTCGGTACAAGGCACGGTGGTTTTATTCACAGCCAAAGCAAGCTCTGTCCCCACGCCAGCCCGTCCCTCACGAAGACCCGGGGGGGTGGCCAAAGAGTCCAGACCACTGTGCTCCAGACTGGTGGTCACCAGCTGGTGCTGGGATGGGGCCACAGGGTGCCCAGACACCCTTAGAAGTGGAGCTGGACAAGGTAGCGGATCCGGCACTGGCTCTCCTGGTAGATGAGGTACTCGCTCTGGCTGAAGGAGGAGTCCTTGTAGGCAGGCATGGGGATGGGTTTGCCCTGGCACACCAGCACCTTCTTGCCATCCAGCAGCACCTCCTCATCCCGTGCGGGGTCTGGGTGAGAAGACACCCCTCAACACCGCGTCAAGCCTGAGATCTGGCCTCTCTCCACCTCGTGCCCACCCCAGCCCCACAGACCCCACACCCCCTCCTGCTCCGGGCTCACCCGGCTCTGTCTGGCCACAGGCCACGACGCTGTCGTAGCCAACAGGCGGCTGACACAGCGTGGGGTCGTCACAGGTGATGCGGTAGGGCTTGCCCAGGGCAACCTCCGTCAGGAACATGATGCCAACACTCTTGAATGTACATCCCACTGCCATGGGAGAAAGGGAGTGGGATGATGGCACCAGCCCCAGCGTTCCCATCTGGTTGTGCCCAGGC